TACGGTTGGTGTTTCACTTTAAACGATCGTAACTTTTTAATACTCATCGGATTTAATCGAAATAGGCACCATTCGAATCAGCACACTTTTGCCAATGTGACAGCAGTCGAGAAATCCCATCAAAAAAAAACTGGGTGGTCGAGAATCCACGAAATCTACGAAGGTCTTTTTTTGCCTGGTCTTAATTGAAGAAGTATTTTTCAGCAAGGAAGTTCTGAAAATGTCTGAAAAGGTGACAGTCGGTTGGTGAAAGGTCTGGAGAATATGGTGGGTGAGGTAGAACTTCAACCCCAATTCGTTCAATTTATGGATAGTGATTTGTGAAACGTGTGGGCGGGCGTTGTCATGCAAAAGAATCGGACCCTTTCTTTTGATAAGTGTTGGCTGCAGCTGACAATATTTTCGGTACATTTGGTCGGTTTGTTCACAGTAGGGTTCTGCTGTGATGGTTTGGCGCCTGGCGCGATAAAAAAGTTATAGTGGATTACAACAGCCGATGACCACCAAACCTGACCAGAATTTTTTTTCGTGAGGGTTCGGCTTTGAAAATTACCTCGGTGGTTCCTCCAAATCCAACCACTGTCCGGAACGTCTCCTGTTATCATACATGATCCATTTTTCATCACAGGTGACAAATCCGTTCAAAAACGGGTCAATTCTTTTGCGCAAAAGCAGCGAAGAAGGAACCTCGAGACGTGCCGATTCCTGCCGGTCACTCCGATTGTGGGGCACCTAATTGTCGGGTTTTTTCACCTTCCCAATGCGTTTCAAACAATCTACAACACTGGATTTGCCAACGCGTTAGTTGTGTTTTTTTTCTGCAATGCTCCTCGAACTGCTTTTGCGGATGGGTCAGCTTCAAAATCTCCTCAAAAATCCTTCCGTGCAGATATTGCCTTTAGGGTCGAACTGCCATGAGGTTTCATCTTCAATCGTCTCGAAATACTCCGGAAACGAACTTTGTTGAGCCATTGCAGCACAGTGCTTTCTCAAGCACTATTGGGCCCCCACACCTGGTTAATTTGCTGAGCTGTTTCGGTTGCGGATTGCCCCAATTTATAGTCGAAGAAAAAAATCGTCCGAAGTGCTCTTTTCACATGTTTGAAAATCTTGAAAAAGGGAGTTCAATAAGCAATGGTTGTAAACGCAATTATTACATCAGACTATCGCGGCCTAAGAAATTCTCTACAGGATTGGCTACTGAGAAGCAAGGCAGAAAGAGTTTTTAAACAGCAGTGAATGTACAAAAAATAGGTGCACAAAACGCTAAGAACTTTCCGGACAACCTAATACTTATCCCGACCCAAAAGGAACAGGAAGCTTGGCGAAAAAACGGACCAAGCCTTGGTTCAGCTTGCGAGCGGCTTTCTCGTTCAGCTCTCAGCTATTTTAAAGGGTCTCATTCTCTCTTGAATTATCGTCGTTTCAGTTTTGTCGTGAATTTGTTGAAAATGTATTGGCAGTCATTTGTGCTGCGATGACGTCTCCCTCACCACTTCACTCGGGTGTTTTTCTAATCCTGTACTTGACAGTGGTTGACACGATGTGGGATCAGTTCCTCGCTGAGCAAGGTAAGCTTCGCTGACCATGACCATCTCGTCGAATGTTCGCTCATTGCAGCTAAACTTTTAGGCTCCACAAGCGTATCGACGTCAGCTGCTTGAACGATGGGCTGTAGTATTCACTGAACAAATCGATTACTACACTGTAACTGCAGTCGCAGTACGGCGCGTGTGCTTAATCACACCACATCCCGTCCCCAAAGGAACAATATGCTAGGGGCTCTTCTTGACTCCTGATCGGCCTCATGAAGGCGTCATTTTGTACTTATGTACTTCTAGACTTTCAACTCGCTTTAAGCGATGCCTCCTTTTAGGCCTCAGTTTAGTCCCCCCCATCCATTCGCTTTCAAGCCGACCGCCCGTTCCTCTTCCCCGCCTGCTCCAGCTGTAGGTGAAGCCCTTCTGGGGCTGCAAAGTGATGAAACTAGCTGCTGCGGCGTGACAAGGCAGCCACGCGTTGGTCTGTCAAATCGCCTGATTTCTGCGGTGCCCCCATCAAGCGGAGGACTGCCACCATATCTCCTTCTTATATTGAGCTCAAGATGGTGCCAGCAATCCTATGTCAGAAATTTGCGCCTTCTGATCTCCGTGGATCGCGTATTGCCGCCCTTGAGAAGATTAGCTCTGTAGGTGCAGTACCGTGCCACTTTCTCCGGTCAGAAAAGGAAACAGGCCTGGAGGGTATCGATGCTCGGATGCGGTCTCCATACTCAGTCTGTGCTGCTTGAGAGCAGCGAGGCGCCTAGGCCATAGTTTCAAACGCGCCACATGCACTAGCGTCACGCTCACTTTTTAGTGTTCTCTACCGTTGAGTATCTGTTTCGCTGCAGGACTTCGGTATGGGTGAATGTGCTGCACCTTAAGCAGTATGGAGATGGGCCTCGGGAACCACTACCTCACAGCCCGTTCCCGTGCACCTTTGAGCAGACAAAATAGCGCGCTACAGTTGCGGACCCTTCCGGCAAAGACAGTCTCCGGAACAGGGCATGCCATCGCGTTGTGTTATGGAATTCCTGCAAACAGGACCCTCCCCTAGTTCAATGCTCTCGATAAGAACCTCCTTCCCTAACACCTACCTACGACACTTTCCCTACAAAGTTCATAGGCTCTCCTCAATTCTTTCCGCAATTTCCACACTTTTTCAGTTTTTCAGCCAATAGTTTTTCCCGTTGCAACGGGGACGGGAGGTAACACCACGTGAGAATTGGTAAAAATTTGCCAGGAAAGTCGAACAAGAACAACCGGGAAATGATTTTTCTCCACGCCGCATATTTTTCTAAAGCCACATACGACCCCTCTCCCAACAACGGCCAGATACGATCCCTCCCCCCCCATACGATCCCTCTCCGTGAAATAAGAAAGCCAACTATCAAAAAATTTCTCAGACCAAATACGACCCTCCCTCCCGGTCAAATACGACTCCCCCCCCCCGTTCTGATTATCACAACGATGGCGTGCCCTGCTCCGGAAGAGTGTGTGAGTTTGTTCTTAATCATCTAGGTGTAGTTCTGGTGGAAATTCTGCTCACGCGATGTCCGCTGACAACGTTATCTCTGTCGTATTGCCGCAAATGGGATGTAGCGTCCCACACCTGAAATTTAAAGAACCTTGAATGAAACTCTTTTGAGGATCTTTGATCGCATTTCATACTGGAATATCCACTTTTCAGCAGAAAAAGAGGATTATAAGGGCGATCGTGCAGCGTCAGCGGCCGGTGCTCAGTCTCTGGACATTCCACTTCGACGAAAGACATCAGTACTGGTGCCGTTGATGTCACGAGAGGATCTCACGCAAATGCAGGACCATTTACTGCGGCCTCCAAGCCGCATGTAGGCTGGCCATCCTGTAAAGTTATCCGTGAAAAACCATAGACATTGCTGTTTTTGCTCGAGTTTGAGAAAACTTGGTGTTTTATAGAAAAGTACCGGTGACACATCTCTTTCTGCGCTCAACCACACTTTAATATGAGGAATCGCCTCTTGTATTTTCTCAAGTTTAATTTGAAATTTTGGAAATTTCGAAGGGGACCAATCTTACGAGAGAGTATGAAATTTCATTTTAATTCCTATATTACACTGATCTATTCTGCACTGATTATGTGGGCGGAGACACCGGGCAGTTGTCCATCTTCATATGTGCTGCTCCAAATACGAAAAAGTGAAGAGGCGCGCCAACGAAGAAAGGCAAACTTCAAGGCTGCGTCCACCCACATGATCAGCGTGGACTGAGCCTTGGAAACCACTCAATGGTTGAATCTTACTGTAATCACAGCATTCACACTTGTATGAAAGTCAAGAATTCTTCGAATTACACTTCTGAGACTCCTTTTTCTTGAAGGGTATTCATAGGAATTCCGTAGAATTGCTCACAGGCTTCGTGGTCCTTTCGCTCCTAATTGATTTCTCGGCAACTAGTTGAACTACTTCTACCCCAAAAACTGCAAAAAAACATTCTTTTCGCCGAAAGGTTGCCCATAGAGTAGTTCGATGCCCTGACTCACAGCAGTATCCACATTCTTTGCGCGCATGACGAAAAATTTGGCGGCCACCAAAATCTTTCTCTTTCACCAAAATCGATGACCACTTGCATATGAATGTTTAGTCCTGATTACGAATCCGACATTTGTTCTGGCGCTAGCGCCATTTGGCGCCATTATGCGCCAATTTGGCGCAACCATCTTTTCCACCGAAATCGGTGAAAACTTGTATCTGGTGGTTATTTGAGGTCCTGATTACGAATCCGACATGGCACCATGACGCCAAATGGCGCCAGCGCTCAAAACGAATGTGATATTCGTGATCAGGATGTCGATTAACCCCATATACAAGTTTTCACCGAATTTGGTGAAAAAAGTGGTTGCGCCAAATTGGCGCATAATGGCGCCAAATGGCGCCAGCGCTCAAAACGAATGTGATATTCGTGATCAGGGCATCGAACTACATCTATAGGCAACGTTTCAGCGAAAAAATTTTTTGAGTTTTTGGGGTAGGAATAGTTCAATAGTGCCGATTTCTTAATATGAGTATCCTTCCTATCAAGCGTTGAGTAGTCGATTCACGAATGGGCATCGTAGGGGACTCTACCTGCCAGCGGATTAATCGGCTGTTTTCACTTTTTTGGCTTTTTTCACTTTTCCATGACTAATTATGGGGTAATAATAAGCCGTCTCACCCCATACAGCATTCAAATGCCCAAATGGATCGGTGGGATCTTGAATTCAGTGGGTGCGCTGTTTAGGAGACAGGACAGCAGTTCAAGCTCATTGGTGGAAAGGCTTTTCCACCAATGCTGCTCGAAGTGCTGCCCCGCCTCCTTGGTGCCTTCTATACACACCTTTCTTCACTGAATAGATGTGAGCGCGAGTCCAATCCACGCATGCCCTTAGTTCTTGCTACTTGATATGAAGGATTGTTTGCTTGTTGAAAGTGTTATCAAAGTCAAAACTGTTATTCCAAGTGCCTACATTCTTTGTGATTCAACAACGCTCCAATCCAAGTCTTACGGCTACTTGAAACGTCTCTTATCGCCTCTATGAAGCATTCTATACATATTTTGCATGTACTACTCATATTTTGTTCCAGAATAAAAACCTATTTCTCCCTTACTCTTTATCCTCCTTTTGCTTACGATGCCTACGCTAAAAAGTATAATATGTAATCCCTCCGAAGGCAGTCAACTGCTTCAGCAATCCAGAAAGAAGCAAAGTGTTTGGCTTACACCAGAGCATGAGTGACGACAAGCACCATACTCTTTTATTAAATGACTGCGAACAAATAACAACCTTCTATAGTACATAATGTCTGCAGGGCCTATTTAATAATTAAACAAGGGCACTCAAATTGGCAGGACGATACTGTAAATCTATCGGTTTGCGATCATCGTAGAGAGTTGGGGCCTGCAGTAAGATGAGTACAGTACCGATGAAACATGCAAACGAAAAGATCAACAGAAACAATCGATCCAGCACCATTGCCACGTACTTCCAGTCCTCGTCGATCTGAAAGATAACTAATAGATTACGGTTGGCACTGCAACGCAATGAAATGTGACTGAGCTAGTGCATTACATTTTGAGACCCATCAAATGTCCTCCCCATGTAGCTTTCAGGCTATCAGCGGATTTGTGCTGGGAGATTCCCAATGCACTTAAATAAATTAGGGCGAAAAAACTCTTATGCACTATGCTGCAACAGTCAAAGTAGGTTCCTCCTTTGGTAACTATTCCCACCGTTCAATCAGAATCACCAAGGGGTATTAGAAGCCAGACTGACTTGTGAAACTGTTTTGTAAGCATTTACAGTCTTGTTCGCTGCGGATGAACGGCGTGTCAGGAGCACGACGCCAAACCCTTTTTCAACCAGTTGTTGAAGCGCGTAAGCGACAACAATTGGTGGAAATGAAGAAACTGGTGGAAAACGCGTCCGGCTCCGCGCCAAACTCACCCCAAAGCTGGCACGCCGCATCATCCACAGCTAACAAAATTTACCATACAATTCATGCAAAAGCAAAAGCACCACATGCAACGAAGGATGTGAACCTTGCTGCTTCTCCTGTGAGGCCTTCCACCCACCAAATGAACTACTGTGGACTATCCTAACCTCCAGGGGTATACAGAGAGGGGCGCAAAGAGACATTTCGCCCGAAGCAGCCGAAAGATACCCAAGATGTTCCCGATAAGCAGGAGCAGGCTCTCGCCCATCACCTTCATGTACACCAAAATATGAAGTCATCTCCAATCGCAGCCTGACTGGAGAAGACCTTTGGAATTCACGTCACCTCCAAACAGCTGCGAAACTTCTTGTATGGAGTCACCCATGACAGCTACCTGGAGACCAGCACTCTTGATCTGGGAAACCTCCAACATCGAGCAGGTACAGGATATCATCCTCTCTGCAGTCGCAAGGCGCGGTTGATGGTATGGACCGGAAGTTCCTGGAATGGGAAGACCGATATTTTCTTCGTGGACCCCGTGAAAGTGAACGCTGACGGTTACATCGACCAACTCGAGGAGAATATCCTGCCTTCATGTCGTCGCCTGTACCATCTTGGAAACTTCGTACTGCTACAGGATTGGGTGCCAGCACATGAAATCGAAGGGCGTTGGAAAATCTCTTGGAATCGAAGGGCGTTGAGAACCTGAAGAAGACGGAATATCCAAGTGTGTCACCTGACCTAAACTCCTCGATTACCGGGTTCGGGCGGAGCTCAACAGGGTGGTCTACAGTGGCGGAGAAATCAACGACCTCGCTGAACTCAGGCACCGAATCACGGTCGCGTGGCAGAATCTCTCGATGGCGTTCGTCCAGAAGGCTGTGGCGGAGTATTCGTGATAGTGTACAACGTGTTGTTGAATATGATGGTGGAAATGTCCAATCAGAAGTTAGTAAAGTTCAACTTATATCGCCTTGAAAGTCGAGGAAATAGATGTCTTTTTTTGCCCCCTCCACAGTACATGGACGAGACAGGATTTACAAGCGCGAATAGTACACACAAGACAAAGGCCCACAATTCTGTTCCCGGGATCGATTAGCAAGTTTGGAGGTTAGACTTCAAAACAGCGTCCGATGACGTATATAGGGTAGGGATCTTATCTTGAGAGGCCGTGACGAGTTGTTATTCTTTTCTCGGCAGTCATTATGCACTCCTAACTGACGCATTCCTTCCGCCGAAACGGTAAAGCTCGGTGTCCAACGAAGAAAGCACACTCTTAGGCCTGACTCAACCAATGAGACTAACGAAGATAGCTGAAATGCAAAAATGGTAATCGCATTCACCTTGTCGTCTCGATCCTTCTTCTTGAGCAATTCGGCGATGAAACAAATATTTTCAAATGCTTTTACCACCTAGAAATAAAGTTTTCAGCGAACCGTTTAAAAAGAGTGCTTCACGTTTAGTAAAATCTGGACACTCGCCAGATTTCCTCTGCGGCGACGAGGGACAAGAAGAGTCAACTGGAACTTCTACCTGATGGAGTAGTAGAGTTTCTGAATTCGATCGTCAATAGCGGCATTGGCGAGGCTTTTTCCGATGTCTCGACTTACTCGGTGTTCGTGAAGATTCAGAGGAATTTTACCATCCAGCGTTGTTGGTCCTGAAAATCGTCCTTTCAAATAGTTGGGAATGCGGTATGCAACAAGTCAGACACGCACTGGGTTTGCTTCAGCACATTTAATATATTTAACCCGAGCAAGGTGCTATAGTATGTCAAGTCCACTGGTTAGGAAGCACTAGCTATTAGCCGTAGGTCTACAAGGACCTTGCAACACGCATTCGTCTCTCCGACCATTGGTTAGCTGAATCGAAACGGAAAGGGTGGGGCTTACTCCAAAGAGAAAAAGAGACACTCTTGTAGGGAGCGATTTCAAAGTGGATGCACTAGATCCGAGGTGCAACCGCCATTCTAAATTTTGCAATGACGGGATGGGCTTTGAGAGAGATACTCGAAGCCTTACAATCTACCGAAAACTCGTATTCTGACCAGATCATGGGTAACCATTACTGAATTTTTTAAGAGGAACGGCACAAAACCCTGTACCGGAGGAGAAGCGTCGAGGGGAAAGATACTGCATGGATTAACCTTGGCGCGTAATCGAATAAAAAATCGTCGTTAATTCAGCGGCCACATCAAAGGTTGGATTTCGCGGCACGATACGACACCAGCCCCTCCCCCATTTTTCGTGGATTGGTACGACCACATGCCTCTAGGTCGCAGCTGTCGAGTGCCGGCGGGGGGATATAAGTGGCACATAAAAACAGGTAAAACTCAAACTCCAAAAGCCTGCCAACTCTACTCACCAAGGTCAGCAAGATGAAATACAGACTCCCCTCCTTCTCTGCAACGGGTCCCTGAAACTAATAGAAATCAACTATCAAAGGAATATGTTCCCAGCACAATACGGGCCCCCTTTAACAGCGACCATATTCGAACCCCGATAGGGAATCCCCAACAACGATGTGCCCTGGTGTGATTGGCGCGGGTAAACCCTACAAGAGCGCGTCATGAAGTCAGGTACCATTTTAAACTAGCAGACTGGATGCGTCGCAGCCACATGGCGTCATGACAGACCTATAAAAAAATCGATCCTTCAGAACAAAATTGGCACAGTCCGTTTGGGAGAAGGAGTGGGAGGGAGGGGTGGACGCGGGTCGCACTTTCGCTACTTCTCATCGATGTGCTCATTGCCTTACAAGAGTTGACAGGTATTCTTTACAAGAGTTGACAAGTGGCGCAAGTGGCCTTTACAAGCTTCGTTTGGTATCATTTCAGAGCTTCACAACATTTTACATGTCTTCACTTGGTGGCTCTACAGGTTGATGGGAAGTAGCGAATGTGTAAAATGCCCCCTCCCCCAGAGTCTAAACTACGAGCAAGAATTGATGTTTCTCCAAACTCAACTTCAGACTCACCGATTCCTTTTCTCGAGCTGACTCTTTTGAACGCTTCATCACCGTCATCAGATGGCCGCCTCATAAATAGAATTTTCGGCAACCATTTGAGAAATACCAGCTTTACCCATCTGGGCATCAAGTGGGTGGTAGGCGTTCGAAAATGCAAATTTAGCGCTGAACAGTAGCGGTTAGGGGGGCAGTGATGATGCTAACAAATATATGAAGCTCCAACTCACAAATAACAGTAACAACGACGCTGAGTGTTACCATAACCATGGTAAATAGAAGGTACTTCCCGATTAATGGTAGCGTTATTGAGGTCGCAGGAATGATTTCAGTCTAAAAGAAAGATGAACAGGTACGAGCACGCATGACGAAATTCCTCGTCTACTATAGAAAGTTCATAGCGAACCATTCGAGTGGTTCCTCATTTCAGCCTAAAAGTCTGGTGCATGGCGCATTTTGAAGATTTTGATCGTCTCCCAGGTCACCGTGACAAGGTAATCTAGGATAATTAAAACCTTTAGAATGCGCAGGACACTCGACTTCCATCGAGACTTGAGGAACCATCTGCCAGTTCTCAGGCTTTTATAATGGCCGCGTTGTAAGCCTCAGATTGAGTGCCCTTCCCACCTCGCCTCCCAATTTATTGATTAATGAATTTGTGTAGTGCCCATGAATGTTCAATAACGCACTTACCCCCCCCCCCGGGTATTTTTTCAAATTGAAATTTTCACTCACCAACAACAAGAAGAAGATAGTCAATGCTACAAGTATAGAAATACATAGAGTAACTTTTTCACCAGAATCAGATGGCAGATAGAAAACAAGAATTGTGAGAAATGATATGCCGACACATGGGAACACGAGGTTCACCGTATAGAAGAGCGGTTTACGTCGAAGTTCCAGGTAATACTGAAAGCAGAGCCGTTTTGATAACCTCTTACCGTCAGGGAATTTGAGGCATTAATTAAGGACCAAGACTTGCCATAATATCAATATATGCGCTCTGAGGGCAACAGCTCGGATAGTTTTTCGATCGTCGACGAGCCACTCTCGACATTATGTCCCATTCGACTGATGGATAGTAATCGGACAGATCTATAACTGGTAGGTATACTCCTTATCCCTGAGATGGAGTAGGCGTGGCATTTGAACATGGCATGGGATGGTTACTCGTGGGATATTTCAGTTTGAGACAACTGTCATCTTGTTCTTTGTTGGGCAGACACATATTTACTATTGTCCCAAAATGAAATAATCCCACCAAAAGCACAGCCACCGCCACGTTAAGTCGAATACTCAGCCACGCCTACCGCATCTCAGGGGTTTTCGAGTGTATTCTGATGAAGTACTCCGGCGACACATTTCGTCTGCGCTTCAAAGCTAAGCCTTTCTGGGGAAGTGATACAGAAGCCGAATGTCACTACCTATCCACGTTAGCGCCGAAACGCTTAGGGAAGGCACAAGATTGGATACGCCCATACGACCAGCGTGGAATGTTAAAATCACGGCGAAAAAAGTGAAGTGTTGGAGTTTCAGTGACCCTTTACTTCTAATTTCCCACCCCAAAAATATGCGTTTCGGAAAACGCTCCGAGTGAGATGGAGATGCTCCCTAGGTGAGTTTAATCGTTTCAACTAACCGATTCCATCGTCAGCTATAGTGATATTGTCGGCGATGCCTTGCTCGTTCACTTCTTCTTCATAACGTACGTTATTCTCCAAAAGCTCCAAATTGAGCAAGTTCTCTGAGTAAGTCCACGAGCCAAACTAGAAATCAGAAATATGCGTTCACTTCATCTCAAATGAAAAGCATGGTCCAGACTATTCACCGGGCGGAGCCGAGCTCACTGTGCCTTACTTATCGGTGCGCGCTTCCTCTTCACTGTCCACGGAATGAAGGGTGCACCAATGAGAAAGGAACATAGTAAGCCCTGCTCCACCCACACTGTCAGCGTGGACTGAGCCGTCGGAAGAAAAATTTGATGCAGTACAACATTACTCACCTTCAAATGACATTGCTGCTCGTCAAATGGAAACCTGAATTTCACGACGTCAGAATACAATGTTGAAACATTCAAGATTCAAAGTAATTTTGGTCCCTTTTCCTCGCTCGAGGTTCCCCCAGGTTTGTTCGCTCGGGTACCCATATTCTTTTTTAACGGGCCAAGTTGTCAGCAAGCCCCAGTACAGTCCTATCGTATCGTTGCGTTCAGAACCAAGGATAAAGGTCTTGCTGGTGGAGCTTCTTCATCGTCCTTCATCGACTCAATGAGGAAAACAACCTCCCGGCACTGCTACTAGGAAGGTCACGGTTTCGATTCCTTGCCAGTCCGACTCGCAGCCCTTATGCTTTTTCTGTTTTTGCGAGGGTTTTTCTCCCTTCTTGACAGGGATTCTCTTCATTATTGCCTCCACCATCTGACTATTTGTTTTCCGAGCTTCTTTTTTTAGAGTTCGTGACTCACTAGGGTGCAGCTCTACGAGCGAATATTACTTTGAAGGAGAGCGACCGGCTAGATTGCTTTGATATTGTGCAAATTTGCCATCCGGTTGTCCTTGCCAGCGTGTTTTTCTCCCTAACTGTGGCTCTTATGTAACTGATGTGGTGATCTCTACCATCTTCCTTTTTGTCGACGCGGACCACTCATGATGAGTCGCAGCTGGTGGTGTGATTGGCATCTCTGGATTTCCAATACTTTCGCTCGGCGGCTAGAAGCTTGTTCAGCCTCGGAGGGGCATATCGGCACTTTCGCTAGTTTGTTTTATCAGACCTGCTAACTGTTACGTCACATCTTGTGAGACCCTGTGGCTTTTGTCAAGTGTTATGGGAAGCGTCCTGTTAGAAGCGTGTTTCACATGAATTTACAGGCCCACAGCAAAAGGCATCGGCCTGATCGATGGGCATCAGCAAAATGCCCCACCTATTTCTATTAAGGAGTAGTGATAAATTCTGCTGAACTACAGCATTTCATTGGCAGCCGGTTCGCTTCATGTGAGTGACAGAATTATCTCAAGAGTATTCAGTCCGAAAAGAATAGGTTTTTGAAAACATACCATCTGACATCAATCTGGCACATACTTTTGAAAATGGCCGGTGGTTCCCATGTGACTTCACCGGAATAATGGAGCGTAGCTTTCGTTGAAATTGTAATATTATAGTTACTGTCCGCACTGGAAAGATCTACTTTTTTTTCTACACTCTATATTTTTTAGGTGCTAGGTCACAGGTAATTAATCGGTCACAGTCTAGATCGCATGGATGGAGACGAGCCTGTCATGAGCCTTATTCTTCATGCCCACCCCTTTACCCACCTAGAAAGGAGAGAAACAGCGAGGAAGCGCAGTGATGGGACTCGCTCCGCCCATGCGATTAACGTGGATTATGCGTTTAAACGAAAAGTCGCGGTCGGGTTGTAGCACCCTATGAAGCTATCGCATTGTTTCCATTCCATTCCGAAAACAGACATATGTCATCAATGACGACTTGCTCAGGGCACATCGTTGTTGGGGACTCCCCAACAGGCGGGAGCGGGGGTTCGTATTTGGTCGCTGGGAGAGAGGGGTCGTATTTTCATTCTGACCTTCTGGAGAAGGTTGCCTGACTTCACGTGATTTTTCGTGTTTCATGTGTACTATATACCCTCTCCCCCCATGCTCGACAGCAGAATTTCTGGGGGAAATTAGGAAAATTTTCGGGAAATTCCGGAAAAGTAAGTCGGGGAAAATCTGAGAAATGGTAACATGGGGGTCGTATTTTTCTCGCGGCTTTTCCCGTTTCACATGTGCTATATTCCATCCCCCCATGACAGCTTTATGAGGAGGGAACCACGGCGGGGGGGAGGTCGTAACCCCTAGGAGAAGGGTCGTACGGACTCGACCAAAATCCCCCAACCAATGATGTGCCCTGGACTTCCTAGTACTTGAAAGTGAATGGTGACCGCCCCTCGAAAAACATGAGAGCCGTCAAGTCCCTTGACATCACGTCATAAGCTCTAGCTATCTTGTCT